AGACATGTACGCACTTGTATTTTTCTGAGCGTTATAAATAGAACACATGTTATACACAACACGATCCAGTATAGATGCCCCACTGATTTCTGATGCCACACTTTTGAAAAGGCGATTGAATAGTGAAAGCTACAGCCCTAGATGTTACAGAGGACCAAAGACGGTGGTCACAGCAACATGTAAACGCTTTGAATTCAAATGTTTTCTCTATAATTTCTTGATTCTAGTGGGGTGCCTTTACATTAGTCACTAATTGTATGGTAATAAAAACGTACTCAAAAGCAAAATAATACTTTTGCCAGCTTATACATACAACTCTATACATCTGATGCCTATGTTACACCATAATCATCCATGGTCAATCTACTGCTAAATGAAGGTATTTCCAAGCTGTTGCTATCTCTCACGGTCCTGCAATGCAACATTTCACACTGGACTTGCACACGAGATGATCTCGTCGCTCCATCTCCGCGGTGGATGTCCTTTGGACATGTCCTCTCCTTTGGCTGCCACTGCGTTGTTATTCTCGACCACTTGTCATAATCCCTTGTTGTAAAGACCTTTCCTGCCTCTCCGGGACCTCCTCCCCTTTCACATGGGGATTGGGAGTTGACGTGGGGATTGGGAGTCGACGTGGGTTATTGGCACAGCGGAGACGATCCATCTCTCCCGAGGTGGATATTCGTTTGGCACCAACTGGAGTGCGCCACGTGTTCACATGCGGCAAATGTCGAATTAAACCGGCTGTCCACGTGAATTTACATGCGAACCTGAATGAGAATGCAAGATGAAAAAAAACGGCGTGATACGTGTTGAAGCGCTTTTGGAAAGCTGATCTTAATGCAAAACATGCAAATGTAATATGCGGTACCTGCCATGACATGGATCAGAAACATGGAAGTGACGAAGAAAACGGAACGAAAGCTCCAAAATGCAGAACGCATGGAGATATGCATGCCTGGGATTTTACCGACACAAACAGGAACCGCGCCGCACAGCAGGAGGTGAGCGGTGAGTCCATGTGTGGCCCGCCCGTTATTTTATTATTTACCACTTCCATCCGCGCCTCTTTCCCGCACTTGTCTCAGTCATAGGTTTGGTAAGCCCACAAGCTAACCCTAACCAAAATGAGTAAAATACAAACGTCTCTGGAGAGCTTCTTTGAAAAGGGGGAAAGACCCAATGATGAACCCCCCCGCCCCCCGGTCCGTGAAAAAAATGTCTTCCACGAAAAAGGTCCCTGGTGCCAAAAAGGTTGGGGACCGCTGGATTAGAGAACATATACAGTGAGGGAAAAAAGTATTTTATCCCCTGCTGATTTTGTACGTTTGCCCACTGACAAAGAAATGATCAGTCAATAATTTTAATGGTAGGTTTATTTGAACAGTGAGAGACAGAATAACAACAAAATCCAGAAAAACGCATGTCAAAAATGTTATAAATTGATTTGCATTTTAATGAGGGAAATAAGTATTTGACCCCCTCTCAATCAGAAAGATTTCTGGCTCCCAGGTGTCTTTTATACAGGTAACGAGCTGAGATTAGGAGCACACTCTTAAAGGGAGTGCTCCTAATCTCAGCTTGTTACCTGTAGAAAAGGCACCTGTCCACAGAAGCAATCAATCAATCAATCAGATTCAAACTCTCCACGATGGCCAAGACCAAAGAGCTCTCCAAGAATGTCAGGGACAAGATTGTAGACCTACACAAGGCTGGAATGGGCTACAAGACCATTGCCAAGCAGCTTGGTGAGAATGTGACAACAGTTGGTGCGATTATTCGCAAATGGAAGAAACACAAAAGAACTGTCAATCTCCCTCGACCTGGGGCTCCATGCAAGATCTCACCTCGTGGAGTTGCAATGATCATGAGAACAGTGAGGAATCAGCCCAGAACTACATGGGATGATCATATCAATGATCTCAAGGCAGCTGGGACCATAGTCACCAAGAAAACAATTGGTAACACACTACGCCGTGAAGGACTGAAATCCTGCAGCGCCCGCAAGGTCCCCCTGCTCAAGAAAGCACATATACATGCCCGTCTGAAGTTTGCCATAGAACATTTGAATGATTCAGAGGACAACTGGGTGAAAGTGTTGTGGTCAGATGAGACCAAAATGGAGCTCGTTGGCATCAACTCAACTCACCGTGTTTGGAGGAGGAGGAATGCTTCCTATAACCCCAAGAACACCATCCCCACCGTCAAACGTGGAGGTGGAAACATTATGCTTTGGGGGTGTTTATCTGCTAAGGGGACAAGACAACTTCACCGCATCAAAGGGACGATGGACAGGGCCATGTACCGTCAAATCTTGGGTAAGAACCTCCTTCCCTCAGCCAGGGCATTGAAAATGGGTCGTGGATGGGTATTCCAGCATGACAATGACCCAAAACACACGGCCAAGGCAACAAAGGAGTGGCTCAAGAAGAAGCACATTAAGGTCCTGGAGTGGCCTAGCTAGTCTCCAGACCTTAATCCCATAGAAAATCTGTGGAGGGAGCTGAAGGTTCGAGTTGCCAAACGTCAGCCTTGAAACCTTAATGACTTGGAGAAGATCTGCAAAGAGGAGTGGGACAAAATCCCTCCTGAGATGTGTGCAAACCTGGTGGCCAACTACAAGAAACGTCTGACCTCTGTAATTGCCAACAAGGGTTTTGCCACCAAGTACTAAGTCATGTTTTGCAGAGGGGTCAAATACTTATTTCCCTCATTAAAATGAAAATCAATTTATAAAATTTTGGACATGCGTTTTTCTGGAGTGTTTTGTTGTTATTCTGTCTCTCACTGTTCAAATAAACCTACCATTAAAATTATAGACTGGTCATTTCTTTGTCAGTGGGCAAACGTACAAAATCAGCAGGGGATCAAATACTTTTTTTCCCTCACTGTACCGCTTAATGACGTCAACTACGAAAAGTGGACTTGGGCAGCGCAAATTGCTCGAAAGGATGGATGTTGGGCTGGTGGGCGAGAATAACGACGGAGTGGCATCCAAAGGAGGGTGACATCCAGCGCGGAGATCAATTAAACCATGATGAAATCAGCTCGTGTGCAAGGTGCTGTATGGATGGTTTACACCGTCGCAGGACTGTAAGAGATGACGACTTGGAACTTCCACGTGGCCGACAGTTGGGGGGGGGCGGCGTCCGAGGCGGGGGGGTGGTTGGAGTGGTGGGGTGTCCGGGGGGATGGGGGTGGTTGGAGGGGGGGGTGTCCGAGGGGGGGGGGGGGGGTTGGAGAGGGGGTGTTCGGGGGAGTGGTTGGAGGGGGGTGTCCGGTGGGGGGGGGGGGGGTTGGAGGGGGGGTGTCCGGGGGGGGGGTGGTTGGAGGGGGGGGTCCGGAGGAAGTGGTTGGAGGGGGGGGTGTCCGGGAGGGGGGTGGTTGGAGGGGGGGGGGTGTCCGGGAGGGGGGTGGTTGGAGAGGGGGGTGTCCGGGGGGGTGGTTGGAGGGGGTGTGTCCGGAGGGGGTGGTTGGAGGGGGTGTGTCCGGAGGGGGTGGTTGGAGGGGGTGTGTCCGGGGAGGGTGGTTGGAGAGGAGATTGTTGGGGGGGGGGTGTCCGGGGGGTGGTTGGAAGGGGGGGGTGTCCGTGGGGGGGGGTGGTTGGAGGGGGAGTGTCCGGGGGGGGGTTGGTTGGAGGGGGAGGGGTCCGGAGGGGGTGGTTGGAGGGGGGGTCCGGAGGGGGTGGTTGGAGGGGGGGTGTCCGGGGAGGGTGGTTGGAAGGGGGGGGGTGTCCGTGGGTGGGGGGGGGGGGTGGTTGGAGGGGGAGTGTCCGGGGGGGGGGGGGTTGGTTGGAGGGGGAGGGGTCCGGAGGGGGTGGTTGGAGGGGGGGTCCGGAGGGGGTGGTTGGAGGGGGGGTATCCGGGGAGGGTGGTTGGAGAGGAGATTGTTCGGGGGGGGGGGGTGTCCGGGGGGTGGTTGGAAGGGGGGGGGGGTGTCCGTGGGGGGGGGGGGTGATTGGAGGGGGAGTGTCCGGGGGGGGGGGGTTGGAGGGGGGGGGGGTGTCCGGGAGGGAGGGGGGTGGTTGGAGGGGGTGTGTCCGGGGGGTGGTTGGAGGGGGGGTGTCCGGGGAGGGTGGTTGGAGAGGAGATTGTTCGGGGGGGGGGGTGTCCGGGGGGTGGTTGGAAGGGGGGGGGGGTGTCCGTGGGGGGGGGGTGATTGGAGGGGGAGTGTCCGGGGGGGGGGGGTTGGAGGGGGGGGGTGTCCGGGAGGGAGGGGGGTGGTTGGAGGGGGTGTGTCCGGGGGGTGGTTGGAGGGGGGGTGTCCGGGGAGGGTGGTTGGAGAGGAGATTGTTCGGGGGGGGGGGTGTCCGGGGGGTGGTTGGAAGGGGGGGGTGTCCGTGGGGGGGGGGGGTGATTGGAGGGGGGGTGTCCGGGGGGTGGTTTGAAGGGGGGGGGGTGTCCGTGGGGGGGGGGGGTGATTGGAGGGGGAGTGTCCGGGGGGGGGTGGTTGGAGGGGGGGGGTGTCCGGGGAGGGTGGTTGGAGAGGAGATTGTTCGGGGGGGGGGTGTCCGGGGGGTGGTTGGAAGGGGGGGGTGTCCGTGGGGGGGGGGGGTGATTGGAGGGGGGGTGTCCGGGGGGTGGTTTGAAGGGGGGGGGTGTCCGTGGGGGGGGGGGGTGATTGGAGGGGGAGTGTCCGGGGGGGGTTGGTTGGAGGGGGGGGTGTCCGGGAGGGAGGGGGTGGTTGGAGGGGGTGTGTCCGGGGGGATGGTTGGAGGGGGAGGGGTCCGGAAGGGGTGGTTGGAGGGGGGGTATCCGGGGGGTGGTTGGAAGGGGGGGGTGTCCGTGGGGGGGGGTGATTGGAGGGGGGGGTGTCGGGGGGGTGGTTGGAGGGGGCGGAGGTGTCCGGGGGGGGGAGACGTTTGGAGGGGGGGAGGTGTCCGGGGGGGGGTGATTGGAGAGGGGGTTGTCCAGGGTGGGGGAGGGGTGTCCGCGGGGGGGTGGTTGGAGGGGGGTTTCGGGGGGGGGGGTGTCCGGGGGGGGCCGAAGGAGGGGTGTCCGGATGTAGTCGCCATCTTACCAAGGGGCCATAAACGACAACACGCGCACTCATCCCCACGTCACATCAATTCGCCGACGTAGTCACCCGTCGAATTGAACGGGCGTCGCAGTTACCCTGTAGTCAAATGGCCGCTGGCTTTGTCGTGTCGCGGAATCGTCCGACGTGAAAGTTGGGGTGGGGGGTGTGGAGGCGGCGCGTCGAGCCTCCACGTGTTGCCGCAGCAGCAGCGGAATTGTTTTAGGCTCCGGCGGCGACCCGGACGATCGCGACGGTATCGAGGGGCGACCGGGACGCGGTGGGCAACCGGCAACTCTCAGGGCCCACTCGACAGCCAGTCGGGGTGTCATTGTTCGTGTGTTGTGGTGTGCGGAGGGGGAACGGCGGCGATGGCGTCTGGCGGAAAGGCCGCTCGGCGAAGAGGCAGCAGCCGCTCTCAAGCGGCGACCGCGGCGACGTTGGCGGCGGCGGCGGCGTCCGAGGAGACGAAGGCCGGGGCCAAGTCGAGTGGTACGGAGTGGGGTAAACATTCAGGTCGGTGGGACCCCTAGGGGAATTTGTGGGTACGGTGTAAGCAGGGGCCTTGGGGATGGGAGTACGGGAGAAGTACTTCGCGACAGTGGGGTATGGGGTAAACTGCGGGGGGCCCGTGAGGACTGGAAGAATGGGATAAGTTATGGGGGGCTGTGGGTATGAGGTAAACTGCGGGGGGCCCGTGAGGACTGGGAGAATGGGATAAGTTAGGGGGACTGCGGGTATGAGGTAAACTGCGGGGGGCCCGTGAGGACTGGGACAATGGGAGAAAAAGTCAGGGGGGCTGTGGGTATGAGGTAAACTGCGGGGGGCCCGTGGGGACTAGGAGAAAAAGTGCGGGGACTGTGGGTATGAGATAAATTGTGGGGATGTGTAAACGGTAAAGGGGGGTGTGGGGACTGGGAGTATGAAATAAACAGTGGGGTGCCGTGGGAGAGTGGGGGTGGTGTCCGGTGGGCACTGAGAAATAGCGGGTGGACAATAAGGGGAGACTACAAATGTGGATTGTAGGGGGAGGGTTAGTGGAGGAAGTCGGCAGAGGGGAGTTAATTAAAGGACAGACTGGGTCGAACTGGTTATGCTGGGGAGGGTGCTGTGGATATGATAAGCTGGGAGGAATGTGAGAGAGATGGGAGTTGGAGAGGGGAGATAAGCGCTCAATAGATGAATAGAGGAGGAGGAGGAAAGATGAGACTCGAGGAACATTGTGGACAGTATTGCGAGACTCAGGTCGGAGAAAGGGAATAGTAATAATAGAATAGGAGGAGGTGGGAGGGCATACGAGACAAAGGAGAGAGTCACAAAATAATTAGTCACGAGGGGCTGGCTGAGTCAGGAGGGAGAGGGCATTGGGTTACGTTAATGAATCACGGGACAACTCATTTTCCTCCTTAAAACTGAAGTGAAGTTCTCATTCTTGTTACCATATGTATAAATGACTATAAAGCACAGTTTTCAATGGAACTTGATCTGATTTGTAAATGTTGAAATAAATTCGTCATGAACTATGTAAACAGTTAGTGTAAAATTTCGATGTAAAGCTTTCGTGACTGCAGGGATTCATATTCTTGGTTCTTTCGGTAAAGTCACGTAGAAGGGAACTAATAAAATAATGAAAATAAAACAATAAAATTCTCACGACGTTTCATTCCAAAAATTATTGCTGTGGTTTTCACACCTGATGATGATTGCTTGTGTTGCAATCGAAACGTCGTGATAATTTTATTGTTTTATTTTTATTATTTTACTAGCTTTACTACCCGGCTTCGCCCGGGACTTGGATTCAGCACGCCCGGCCGCCTTTGTCTCCCCAGTGGCGATGTTCACAAACTACACCAGTTACTCGTTTGAGGCCGAGTCGACCTAGGGGAGGCCCAGGACCGGTTCAAATAAGCGTCACCGGTGGTGGCCGTGAGCGGGAATCGAACTCAGGTCGCCGGGTTCGTAGCGCGGCACGCTAACCACTACACTACAATGCGTTACGCTTGCACATGCGCGGGTCACATGACATATTTGACGTCACAGCTCACTTGCCGTGCAAAAAAAAATGCAAAAAGTGTATTTTTTATCATTTTTGCATGGTGTGCAGTCTGGAAAGTACCCACATGGCAAATTTCCAGTTTGTTGAAGAACATACACATTCACAACTTGGCCTTTTATATATATGAAGATTATTTCCCTTCTACGTGACTTTACCAAAAGAACCAATAATACAGTTAGTGTAACTATATATTGATCTGCAAGTTAAGTTTCACGTGATCCTAAAATACTGACTACTAAAGCTCATGCTGCAGATCAGTCCAGTTATACTGTTCAAGTATCATCATTGGCTTGTAAACTTCTCGCCACTTAAAAATGTTGAAGCTGTTCGAGAAGTACTGTTCTTTTATCTCTGGATTATATGACGCCCTGGTCGCACACGTACTGCATTATAAGATTCATCCATTTTACATTATGGGACCTCCTTTGCCAGTACCAAAATATAATAGGTTTTCCACTTTTTTCTGGCAATAAAACAGGTGTTAAGATGTTAAAACACCAAACTGAAACCTTTTACAAGGAATCATGTCTGCATTAACCACAATGCTTGTGGTCAGAATGCAAAAAAAACATACTCTTGATAATATATGCATTGTCCTTGAAACTGATTGGTCCACACCAGAGACAGCTTTCTTTTCAGCCTCGTTTCAAACGGCGTTAGACCAGAGGACGCCAAAAGGCCTTCTGGTGTGGACCACTCAGTTTCAAGGACAATGCATATATTATCAGAGTGTTTTTTGTTTGCATTCTGACCACAAGCATTGTGGTTAATGCAGACATGATTCCTTGTAAAAGATTTCAGTTTGTTGTTTTAACATCTTAACACCTGTTTTGTTGCCAGAAAAAAGGGGAAAAAACCTATTGTCATCCCTTTTGCTTTAAAATACAGGGGGAAGAGTGCGTCTTATTCTCCGGGACTGCACGGAGCATGGAATGCGCACTAAGCCACTACCTTAAATATATTGTCGCTAAATAATGAGCTCAGAATACAAAAGCATATTTTAGCAAAGCACCTTTAAAAATAACGTTTATTGTGTATTGTTTTTCGTACACCCTGTATGGGCATGCATTTTGTAGGCTGCCCTCAAATTAGTCTAAAAACTAAGGCGTTGGTGTAATAAGTTCTGAAACATCAATTGTTGTCATAATTTATGTTTTGGGTGGAGCAGCAACAGTTTAATTCAAAGCCTATACATGTTTCCCACCGATCTCATCATCAGCCATAATCAAGTCACAAGCTGCGCATTTAATCCAAGCCACCCGAGTTTGATTCCAGGTCATGGCTAATGATCATCACAGAGCGTGTGATGCATCTTCATATTCACCATCTTGCACACAGACCAGCGTGAAGTATGGTTAAACAACCTCATGTTCCAAAGGCGTGGGGGAGGCCTTTATCCAACTGTAGATTGATAAAAAATACTATACAAATACAATTCCTATTTTATTACCACCCAGTTACTTGGGTGGTATAAACGTTTGCAATGTGGTGCCGTTTTGATAAAAAATAAATCTCATGATTTATCTCGTAAATAAAGAATTTTAAATAACTGTGAAGTTGTAGCTGTGTGATGACCGTTCTAAACTGTACAGAAAAAAACAGTATTATCACACTTGGGTTGCATCCTCTAATGTTGTTGATTTGTAAGTGGAAGGTCATTTAAACCCACCCTCCCCCATGTTTCTCTCTCCCAGCCATTTCTGCAAGTGTTAGGCACCCCGTGTCCTTTACGAGGTAACGAGCTGTTTTGACCAAGGCCATTTTAACTCAAATATTTAAAAGTGCAACGTGCACTTCCGTATCATCTGTAAACAGTCATTAACATAGAAACTGTACATGTCTGCATTCTCAAATGGTAGCGATACAGTGACTCAGAATATCCCACTAAACTGATAGGGAGAAATGAGAGAGAAAAACATTTTAATTCAAAACCTCTACACGTCTCCCACCAATCTCAATTAGCATCAGCAGCCATAATCCGCAGCTGGATTCAGACGTCCAAGAGGTCAACATCTTTTCACGATCCTGCAATCTCATTACTTGACAGTACTTGTATATCTTTTAACACTCACCCAATGCACTGGCATACATCGCCAGTCTGATTTGCTTACAGCATTCCGTGGTCCATAAACTGAGGTCCTTGCTATCTCAGTGATGTACTGAATATAAAAAAGGTCATCCTGTACTTTGTGATTTTTTTTTAGTTTGCATAAGCAGTGTGGCAATTTGTTTTGCTACACTTAAACATATGGGTGTTTTTCCACACTGATGCCATAAAATAATAGTTGTTTTCTCCAACTCTTGTATAACCCGTTTATGACGACGATAAGCATTACACATGCTTGACGATTTGACAAGTGTGACTGATGAGATGTTCATGCCCATAAACGTAAAAACAATACCTTGTAAAGATTAAAATATCCTTAAGTGTAATGATGTGAGTTTTTGTATAGTACGGATACTCTCACCATGTATTCTGATTTTTTGTTTAGCACACATATTGGTGATGTGTTCGAAATATACTGCTATGTACAACGTATATAACTAGCAAAATCCATTGTACTGTGCAGTACTTGTGTTCCCACATGTACACTTCCTGCTTTTTTTGCCTGCTCGTATGTTTGAAGAACAGTATAGTGAAACAGCCTCCACAACACGAATGATGTTTGGAGTCCCTCATTCAGTAGTGAATTGACAAAAGGGCTTTACATATTGCAAAGATATATAGAAGGCCTCAGAATGAACACACGTGGCTAGATGGTAACCTGTGGATAGAGCAGTCGCCAAAAGGCTGCCAGTTCAAATTACGGTCAGCCTCTGCCTCTGTAAAGCCTATGGCCAGGGTCGATAAAAGGATACCACTTTGTGGGAAATGCAACTGGACTTTTTCGACAGACGACCTAGCGTTTACATGGAAGCTGTTGCCTTATGACTCGTTTGAGAAGGGAACCACTTTGATTTGACTTTAAAAGCCAAGGGTGTGGTGTGTTTAATGCAAAAATACTGCCACGTTTTTAGGGGTGTTGACCTTATAAAAGCAATGAATACCCACTGCATGTTTGTATATACCCTGTGAATAAATCATTGTAGAATTATGTTTATATTATACATTGTAGAAATTGTCTGACATCCGAGTATTTCTTGTTCTGTTGCAGCAGAGAAGAATCACGTTTCTTCTAAGCTTTACAAACCATTGCCAACAAAATTAGAGGTAAAGTAAAAGTTATTGAAACTTTTTATACACTTTCTCCCTTGGATCCAAGTACAGAATGATGAAAACACAGTTGTGGTAGAGTGATGGAGTGAGTTTGATACATTATGCTCAAACTTCAAAACACATTGTTCATCAGCGCTTTGTTGCTTTTTGTATATCCTTTAACAAATTCCGTAATGCATGTATGTACTCGTGATAAGATATAGTACCCAAACACTATCAACCATAACATTCCAGGACAAGCATATCTAATTGTTAAAATGTAAAAGTTCAGTGAGGCTACAAATGTTTTTTTAAGTTGCTGTGGATTTGCCATAATGATAGTGCCTATCATTAGGCAAGTTGCTGTGAAAGAGAGTTTGTATTTAAAATGTGACTTAACGTGACCGTTTTTACAGCAACTCAAACCTACTTGAGCAGTCTTCTCAACACAACCCAAAATGGTTTCATATAGGTTTTTGGTATTTTGCTTCTCGATATACAGTATAACAATAGATATTCTAGGACAATATGGAATGACATAAAAAGATCAGTGTGACAGACAAAGATAAAACTGCATAACAGGCATGTCATAATTAGGGAATAATTATATTTCGAGGTTGTGATTCTGTTCAAGAATCGATTAAAAATAAAATGAATGTCATGGTGTATTTGGAACCAAATACAACATATAAAACAATTGATTAATTCTTACTTGCACGATTCGATGTGCATATTGTGGGAAAAAGAACCAGGTTAATCAATTATTTCACGTTTGCTATATAGTGTTACACTAGCTTGAACACTCAACCATTATTCCCCATCACCTTGCAGAAATCAATACATCAATCAACAACAATGTACTAGTAACATTGCTTTGTTGGACCACAAACATTGCTTTCATTGATTTGTTGTTGACAAGGGCACGGGTGTGTAGTTACAGCCCCTGCAGCTGAGGAAGTTTTTTTTGCAGGCCCTGGGTACAGTGTGGTCTCAATATCATGTAGGACCCCAGACAGAGTCACAGGGAGATGACAACATGAGACCATGAGAAATAATTAATGACATGCAGCTTGCAGAGTGACAACAGAAATATTGAAAGTGGCACAGAGAAAGAGAGACAGATGCAGACTTGGAAAGCGATATGGAGATATTCCATCACCATGGTGGTCATGCTCTTGAACGTATTCTTCCTTTGCCTACGATTCCATCATCAGTCTCGACCATTGGACACCATATTACCTATAAACGTCATTTTTTGTCTGTCTGTCTGCGCACGCCTATCTTTATAACGCTTTTAACTGACAAACTGTTGGGTTTACGTTTCAACAAAGTACACAAATACAACACACTGAGCGTGCGTGCACGCATCTGCGCATGCGTGGGAACATCGACGGTTGCCCCTAGCAAAGCAAACGAGCTTGCTGAGCGGTGAGGGGAGGGACGTTCTCCTTGGCGTAAAAAATCCCAAAAAGAAAAAATCAAGCACAGTTACTGCTGCACAACCACACACTGAGGTAAATCCTGAACAGTGTGATGTCCTCTTCTCCCCCACCCCAATGCTTGCAATTACTACTATAGAGCCAGTGAATACTACTGGAGAGTCAGTTATTACTGTCGAGTCAGTTACTACTGTAGAATCGGTAGATGCTACTGTAGAGTCACTGGATGCCACTGTAATGTCAGTAGATACTATTGTAGAGTGGGTAGATACTACTCTTAATGTTCTTTCGGTAAAGTCACGTAGGAAGAAAAGAAATTCAATAATAGAGTACGACGTTTCGATTGCAACACAAGCAACCATCATCAGGGAGAACTAAATTTGAGAGAGAGACAAAACACAGACACGGAGACACACAGACAGACACACAAGCAGAGGGAGACAACAAGACACACAAGAGAGAGACACAACATAGACACACATGCCTCTCTGGGTTTCTGTTGTGCGTCTCTCTCTTCTGGATGGTTACCTACAAGAGCCCTTGAGCTCCGCCCGTGAACTTGGCGCATCCATCTAATTGGCTGATGGCTGAAGCGGCGGAGCCTATCTCACCGATCGGCGACCGTCGGTGAACCCTCGTATTACATCACCCCCCCGGTATAAAAGACGAGCCGTCCCGGCTAGGAATGAAGCAACGCACAATACGAGAGCCACTGAGAATGAGGAACAACACAACAACAATAATAAGGCGCATAACGAACGCGCTACTCAAGGCAAGTAAGAATAATAATAACACAGCACAGCAACAACAAGAAGATGCAAAATAAGTGAGAACAATTATCAACGAAAGGGAACGTGTACGCGACGCCGGTCCATCCCCAGCAGCAGCACGAGGCCCCGCCGGTTTCAGCGTAACAGGAGGCGGAAGGGTGGAAGGTTCGGCCGAAGCGGGGTTGTCGGCAGCAGCCGGGGCGTTCAGGGCCTGTGAGTCTGTGGGAGGCAAAACAGGCCCCTTTTGGGGATCAACCGGCAACAGAGGTGGCACATCGGACGCGTCAGACCCCGGCAGGGTAGGCAATGGGGATGAAGGATGAACACGCGGAGCAAAGAAGGGTTTCAACCGAGACGTGTGGACATACCAACGGCGCAACCCCGCCCGGATACGTACACATTGAGGATTGCGTATTTCTATCAATTCAACAACCCTTGCCATGGCCTGTGCAGTTTGGGATAAGTACCCACCAGCACCTGGGGACAATGGAGCCAGGCCCGGTCGCCCACAACCCATGGCATGTCGCGTCGCGACCGATGAGCGCATCGCTCGTTCCGGGCCTGGGTCTTGGCCGTAGCAATCCTAGCTGCTTCGCGTGCTTCTGTGACACGGCGAACCGATTCGCGGACATGTTCCGGTAGGGTCAGCGCGGGCTCCTTAGCGGGCGCTCCAAGTTGCACGCCAGTCGGCGGCACGTTCTCCCGACCGTACACGAGGAAGAACGGTGAGTAACCCTATTCTTAGTTTTTTCGGTAAAGTCACGTTGAAGAGAAACAACAAAATAACAAAATATATATAAAACAATAAAAAATTCTCACGACGTTTCGACCATAACTCAAACGGTCATCATCAGGTGTGTCGGTTTGCATAAATTTATAAAAAAAAAACAACGGCACATTTATTTATTTATTTAAAAAAAACGTTGGCGTCACGCGCAGCGATTGGCAGTTTGCCCAGGACTAGTCCATCTATTTTTTTTTAAAGAGGAGGGGGGAGACGAAATTTTTTATAATGTATGCTGTCTGAAAGCCACTGTAAGCGTGAACAATCAATCAAGAACTGAAATGATTTATCAAATCTTTCCAATGATTGCTAAGATAGAATCCATCTTCTTGGTTGAAATTGTCTCTGTGCTTGTATATGTGGATAGCCTCATGAACGAATCTCTCATGGAAGCCAGATGGCTTACAAAGAACCTCCGTCTTGGAAAAGTCAATGGCATGTGAGCCTACTGAATTAGAACAATGATCTGCTACGGCCGAGGTGTTGGTCCTACCGTGTTTAAGGTCTGCTTTATGTTCACGAATGCGGTCCGAGACATGGCGTTTGGTTTCTCCAATGTAACTACTACCACAGAGGCAACTTAGTTTGTAGACACCAGGGTATTGTATGTCCGGAATCACATCTTTTACAGACGGAACCAGATCACGGATTTTATGTAATGTGTTGAAACGGACCTGGATCTTGTGTTTATTCAAGATTTTGGAGATCTTTTTTGTGATCCCAGCAATGTAGGGTAAAGTGATGGTTTTGAAAGGCTCCTCAAGAGGGTTCTTCTTCATGGTTTGAGTGATAGCTTTGCGGATTGTATAGTCGGAGTAACCATTAGCCCTAAGAGCTTGGTGTACGTGCTTGAGTTCACTGCTTATGTGTTCCTGGTCGGATATGCATTGGGCTCTATGATACAGAGTCGTGATGAGAGAATTCTTCTGTGATGGATGGTGGTGGGAATCCGGTTTCAGATAAGCATCCGTATGGGTAGCTTTCCTGTAGACAGAGTGGCTCATTGAACCATCAGGTCTCTTTTTAATTAGGACATCCAAAAAAGGTATCTTGCCATCTATTTCGACTTCCATGGTAAATCTGATGGCTGGGTGTATGGAATTGATGTGGTCGAAGAATTGGTCTAGAGCAGGCCGGCCATGTGGCCAGATGACAAAAGTGTCATCCACGTACCTCTTCCATAAGGTTGGGCGCAGAGTGGCAGTCTGGATGGCGTCAGGCTCAAATTTCTCCATGAAAATGTTAGCTATAACTGGAGAAAGGGGGGAGCCCATTGGGGTGCCCTCAGTTTGTTTGTAGAAAGTTCCATTCCAAGTGAAGTATGTATTGGTTAAACAGTGTCTCACCAGTGAGTAACCCGTAGAAGCATGCGGGGCCATACGGTAGGCAGACAGTACGCTGGGAATGTAAAGGTCCCAATCGGCCTGCTTTTCGCTCACCGTGTGACAAAGCATGGACGACAAGGTACGGTTCAGTCGTTCCACCATCCCATCCGTCTGCGGATGGTAAGGTGAAGTGCATATCTTTTTGGTGCCCAAGGCGTCACGCACATCCCGCAGCAATTTGGATGAGAAATTTCGGCCCTGGTCCGTGAGCAGCCGTTCCGGAGCACCTTTGTCCATCACATAACCGTACAGGAATGCATCGGTGATGGACGCTGCCGATTGATAAGGCAGGAGCCAAGCCATCGGCCAACGTGAAAAATATTCCACCCTCACCAACAGGAATTTGTTACCCCTGGCGGAAGGAGGAAATGGCCCGAGGACATCGAGAACCACAAGCTCATTAATTTGCATCACCTTAATCGATTTTAAGGGTGGAATATATTTCTTGCGTGGAAGTTTCCGCCGAGCGCATTCCGGGCACGCCTGAATAGCCTTGGCAACATCGGCTGTCATGCCGGGCCAAAAATAATCCCTTTGCATCGTGAGCAAGGTTTTCTGCACGCCGAGATGAAGCAATTTTTTGGCGTGCAGCGCCCGAATCAGTTCGTGCCGAAGTGCGACGGGAACCACCAGACGC